AATAATCAACAGGAATTATATAGAAATGAAGCAATCACACCTTCTTCAGGCTCCAGACGGGAAGCTCCTGGGAGTTTGGGTGACGTTAACTGTCAGCTTTTTTTAAAAAGAAAAAAAAATTATAGCCAATTTCTTCAAAATCTGAGGGGACTAAGTATAGGCAACCACATCTCATTCTAAGTTCTGACCCACTGTTTTGTCTCAAAGGGCAGAGCCCTTATTCTTTCTTATTAGGGTTTCGGTACACCAGTTAGGAAGATCCAGAAGTATGACACTTTTACTGCTCTGGCTGAGAAATGCAAGGCAGCCTGAGAAAAAGACCAGAGCAACTTGCCCTGAAACTTTCTGGTAAAACAAAAATGCACCCCAGCACCCAAACGTGCCTACGCAGTTCTCGCGAGCCAGGAATCAAATCCCCGTAGCAAAGGTCCACTGGTGCTCAGCAACCAACACGCATTCTGTGCAAGGGAAAGATCTTCCAGATACATCAGCTAAGCAAGGCTGCTAACAGTGCCCTAGAGCTCGCTGCACTTTTAAAATCAATTTCAAGGTGAACAGATGCAACATGCACTCGGGAAAGCCCACGGATGAGCGTGAAAATCGTTCCCGGTGTTTGCTGAACTACACGCAACCAGCAACTGTTGGGTCCTACTCCAGTCCAGTCCATTTGAGGCTCTTCAGGCATCTGTTGGTGTTAGCAAACACGCCTCAACACTGAAGTGGTAGAGGTATTGTTTGAAGCTATAAGGTGGGATGCAAATAATCTATCAGGATTTTCCTGCAGCTACTGGAGCTATCACAGATGACTTTTGTGCCAGGAAAAGGAGACAGAGGAAGCTGCGGTGTTATATTAACACTGAAAATTATTCTTGCCATCCAGGTAGCTATTGGACAACATCAGAACAAGCCACTCCAATGCAAAATCCCAAACCAAAGTTATTGTTTCCTTAACACAAGATCTTGGGCTCACTTCACCCACCTGGACTCTTACAGCCCAGTGCTATACAGGTGCCTGGTGCTGAGAAAACAGGTTGTGGTTAAAGCAGGGCAGGCACCACCACCTCCCATCCAAGTCAGTCTTCTCAGCCATGGACAATTAAATGTCACAGCCTTTGCTCTGAAACCAGCCTGTCCCCTTCCCCGACTCCTCTAGCCAGGGGCTCACCCACCGCTTTCCTCCTCCTCCTCCCCATCTGACCATCTGCTGGTAACAGATGCATTCTTCAGATTTTCTGCCTACCACTGGCACATCGTGGTCCCAGCACCCTCACTAGAGCCAGCGAGATCACGTATCTGGACTGAGATAATTGCGTGACAGTACGCAGAGCTAAAACAAATCTGCCTTCAAGGAGAAGCTGAGATGTCAGACTTTCTCCTAACTTGCTCTCCATCTCCCTCTGATCTTCTGAAACACAACAGAAGGCTGTCTTTTTATAATGTCTTCTAAAAATGGATTTTTAAAACTATTTTTCAGTTTTGCTCCTTGAAAAAGTTCCCAAGATTGGAAGGTAATCTTGTTTTTTAAGAACAGAATTTTCTGAACTCCGCATGATCCAAGCAAGCAGACGCCAAGAAGACAACCCACCAAGGAAAGGACTAAAGATGACCAAGCGTGTGTTCGGCAGTGTGCCTACCCTCCTCTGGGCTATTCTGACACTTTCTTGCCCTCAGGACCAATTCCAAAACTCAGTTTTCAGGTGTATGCCGTGCCAGCGGCACAAGCATAAGTCAGATAGAGAGAAAGGCTCCCGTCTTTCCCAAGAGGGCTTAGGGACAAGGTCAGGAGAGACTGTATCAAAGGCAGCCCAGAGCTCCGCTGGCAGAACAAGGTTAATTTGTCCAGCAATGTTTTGTTACCACAGCAAAGCAAACTCCCTGAGCCTCAGAGCAGCAGTCCCGGGGAATCTGTGGCTCCCCAGATCCCGAGGCAACACCTCCTTATGAATGTGCCCATCGTTCTGGGGGCAGAGGATCTCACAGTTTAAATACAGCCAACAAACGTGATCAGTTATCCCTGAGAAGTCTCCTCTCTTCATTACAGAAGAAAGAAACTTTGCAATGAGGTGAGGACTTTAATTTGTGGTTTTTTTTTTAAACCCTTCTCCCATAGTCCTACAAAACCTTCACAGCAGCCCTCATGACCCAGCCTATTAGTGGGGTGACTAGCTCAACTCCTGCAAGAATATAACTGAAAATGAGCCTCAGGGAATGGCATTTCTCACCTGGACAATTTCTCCATTGGAAGCAATTAAATCCGTGGGGATGGAGACTCTGAAGAAGCGTCCCACCACAGCAGAGCTGTCCGGTATGCCCACCACAGCCGGCACAGTCTCTCGGAGGTCGGAGAGCACGGAGTGCATGGAGGCCTCCAGCTGGTTTTCCCAGTCCCGAACCACTTCTGCCGGCTCGCTGGGCCAGTGGCAGTGAGCAGAGGCCGCCAGCAGCAGCACGGGGAGCCAAGTCCTCCCCAGGAAAGGGGGCTGAAGTAGGCATCCAACAGTCATTCTTCCCAGCGGCCTTGGTGACGGTGCTCCAGACAGAAAGGGGACCACAGGGAATCTGCAGACACTGCAGCGCAGGCAGGGGATCCACCAGTCCTTCACAGCAGCCTCATCCTAGGAGTCCTGGGAACCTGGTTAAACAGAGGAAACCCAACCAGCACATTAATTATGATATCCAAGCCAGCCAGCTAACACACACAAACCTCCATGCAACGGAAAGTGGCCTACCTGCCACACTACCCTCCTCGTTTCAGCTTTCTGATTTAACTGCGAGAGTTACCACTACCGTTAAAGAGAGCAAGAGCTTCCCAGCTCCTCTTCTGACATACGGCATCTCTAGAGAAACAAGATCCTCCTGCTTTTCCATGCACACAACCATGTTTGTGCTGCTCTGGAGCTACAGCATCCCAAGATAGCCACAGGTAGGGAGATGGAGCAGATACAACCAAAGCGAAGACATAGCACAGCAGTAATAGGTCACCTTTCAATGCAAGCTGAAGTCAGGCTGGGGTATCAGTGGATTTAAATGCCTGTTCCCCAGTATGAAGGTCCCAAGAAACCTTTGCTACTCCAAAACTGCCATCTTGACAGCTTGATGCACGACAGATGCTTCTGCTTCTCTGACCCATGAGCCTGGATTTCAAGCCAGGTCTCCTCTCAGTTCCAGCTGTTGGTATTATTGTATTTAGACTTGATTTGGTGGCCAGCAATACGCACCCCAAAATCAGACTGGAGTAAGCTACGCACACTGTGTCCCACACTGCTACCCACCATCCAGCTCCCTGCTGCTTGCACAGCTCACCCGTCCCCATGCTCTGCCAAGAAACACCTCCAGCTCTCCCTCACTTTGTTGTTTTCTTCTTTTACTTGCTTTCTCCCCATTCCCATCCTCTTCTCTCTGGTCCCCTGGATCACAGCCCTCCTTTCTCTCCTCTGTTCCTTTGGTGCATTATTTCCTTCGCTTCCCCAGCTGCTTTTCCCTCCAGATTGTGTTCAGCCGCGGCACACGGGAGTCACAGATCTGTACACACCCCTGTGTTCCTCTTCGCAGTCTGTTTGCAGGAGAGCAAGTGGGTTCAAGAAAGAGGACAAAACCATTTGGGATCTCCAGAGAAGCCATACTGCCCACTCTGGCATCTCGGTTTGCAGCTAGCACAGCTCGCTCTAACTAATCTGCATTAACGACCAGGGCAGTGGGTAACACAGGACTGGAGGACAGCCCCACGGACCAAGCGGGTGTTGCTCAGCCCCCCGAGCACACAGGACTGAGCTCCTTGGGCCAGGCACTCTCCTGTTTTGAACCAACTCTGTTTTTCCAGGCTGAGAGAGAGGCGCCTCCAAATTCCCAGAGCAAACCCAGCCCAACTTCTAACCACTGGCTCCCATTCCTCTGAGCACAGCTCCGATTTATTTTAGCCTGTTCCAGCTGCGTCGCGTGATGCACATCAGGCCGTCCCGAGAGACTCTAGAGCCAGATCGGGTGGGAAAGGAAATCCCACTGCTTCTTGCCCTTGTAGAGCTCCCGGAGCAGCACGACAGCAGAACCTGCTGTGCTGCGGCCAGGCAAGCACGTATCGCCCACCACGGGCTTCCAGAAGCAGGCAGAGGGCCCGTCCACACAGGCAGCCAAGGCCAAGGTTACCACGGCCAGCTCTAGGAATAGTCGGAGAGATAAGATTTGGTTCCTCACCCTAAAATTTGCACTCTAGAGAAGGTGAGAGGCAGCATGCAAGGACTAGCACATCCTCACCCCTTGACGGGCCTTTTCACAATAAACCACTCATGCAGAGGGGCTGACACCTCCCATCCCAAGGTAACGGGCCCAGCGAGCACTGTCACAGCTAGCAAAGAGGGCTGTGGGTAGCAGAAATTATGAGCTGAATGCGGTAACCTCTGGCTACAGCATCCACGAGGCAGATATCTGATCTGACCGCTGTCAGTTGTGGAAAACCTGTCTCAAGTGAAAGGCAGAAGAGACAGTAGAAACAGAATAACACTGCTGGAAACAAGAAGACAGATGGGAGGATGGTTGGTGTGAGATGCCAGTGTCAGAAGAAAGTCCATTTCCCCCACTGCTCTTGTCCTTCCAACTGCCTGAACTGACTGGGACAGGAATACAGCAGGCAAAACAGGGAAGCCAAGACCAGGCTCTTCCCAAAGGCAATGTGGTGGTCTTCACACAGAGTGAGGTGCCTGAGCTGCTTCTCCAGAGGTTATCATCACAAAAGATGAGGTAGCTGGGCAGGTAACGACAAGTCACGCTTCCTACAGGGCACATCTCTCCTACCAGCTCCTTGCGTGGTCAGAGGAGGATCCGACCCACACCAATTGATTTTGGATGAACCCAAGAGTCACCTCTGCAAGTAGACAACTACCACAGGAGATGTCTCGCGGAGACTATCCAACAGGCTGTGTGAATGAGCTACAGAGATGGAGCAGACATCTGCAAGAGGTCCTGGGGGGGCCACTGATCATCACATCAGGAAATCAAGGAACTCTCATCCCCGCACAGTGCCTTAAAAAAGGAGAAAGAAGAACCACCTTCACCCTCCGTGGAGCCTGGGGTATGGACACCGCAGTGATGGTGCCTTGTCTGTGAGCTACTTCTCCTGAAGCCTGCTCGTTGGAAAATCCTGCTGCGTGAGGGACTAGAAAGCAACCCGCACAGCAAGTACAGGCAGGATCAGAGACTTGCAGCCAAGGGAGGAATGCTGCTGCAGAACCCAGCAGCCCTGTGGCTGCTGCGGGGCCGAGATGCTATCACAGCATGGAAACATGGCTGCTTCTCACAGCTGCGCTGAGCCTCCACACCTGAGCAGAGGAGGAACGCCCCAGACAACCAGACCCACAGACACCCAGCATACAACCGCATGGAGCTGTAAAGATGCCTGGAGAGGTTCGGCACCACATCTTCGGGCCAGCCCCTGCCCCTGGCCTGTCATGGCTGCGGCAGAGCTCATGCACGATCGTGGTGCAGCTCTGTGTTGCTCAGCCAAATGATGTGATCTGGCCTGGGGCATTTGTGTTGGATGGAGAGGAGTATTTGGGCAGAAATGAGCTGGTTCTTGAGATCTGTGGCAAGCAGGAGAGGAAGATGAAGTCATGACCCATTTCAGAAACAATTATTAGAGCAGGCAACAACCACTGCCCATCTGATACGTGCCCCTCAGCCAAGTAACTCACACACTGACCATTAAGATCTCATGTGACACTTGCAGGCCGCACAAATTCAGAATTTCATTTTAGGGGAACTACAGAAGAACAGTCTCAGCATATGGAAGCGGAACACACAGGAGGTATAGGAGGAATTCTGAAGTAGCTGATAACAAAAACCAAACAGAAGAGCTGAGAACAAACTTGCACCACCAAAAAAAAAAATAAATCTTAACACAGCTCCACCTCACCAAACAATTGACAGAAGCTGAAACAGTGCCAGCCTCTCACACTGTGTGCTAAGGAGGAAAGGCAGGGAGGTACAGCTCCACAGATAGCTGGAAAAAGGCATTGCCCCACAGTGCTGAGGTCCACATGGACTATCGCTTCAAGGCAGAATGCTTTTTTGGACAGGAGGTCCTCTGCCTAAAAGCCAGCAGTCCTGCTCAGCGAGTCTGCCAGCCACCAGCACTGCAGGTCTCGATGCAGCTGCAGAACGGAGCGAACGTGGCCTGCAGCGAGGCTGGAACAGGCACTGGGGACCTGCGTGGTGTCTCTGTCAAGTTCAAGAGCCCACACCATTTCACATGGTACAACCACGGGCAAAACCCGGACTCGCTTGTTTGAGACACCATCCCAGCTGTATGCAGAAAAAGTCAGCGTTCTGGATCATTGTCCATGACCAGTGAGTGGCACGGAGCCCGGAGCAAGAAACCTGAACGTTTCACGGAGTTTCCCACAAGCTCAAAACAGGGCCAAAACCCAAATGCAGATGGCATTCTGCAGGTGGTCTTCTGCTGATCTCTGGGAAGCACCAGGCCATAGGGCCAACTGACTTAGACAGCACTTTCAAGTTATGAGGGAAGGCTAGACCACCCCAGCTTCTCTACATGGCACAGTGCTCCTTCTTCCAGCAGGATCTGTACCGCCCAGTTTCGCAGAACACACACAGAGGTTCAGCTTAGTCCTCAATTTCAGGATGTTTTGTTCAGTCTGATCCTCTGAGAGAACCGACTTTCTCTTTATCCTCCTGCTTCTGTGAGAGCTCTTTTGGTCTCAAGTTTGAGCCTCCAGAGCGTTGGATGAAACATCAAAGTCAGCACCAACATCTGCTTCAGTCCTAGCACTTGGTACACGTGCCAATGTTGATGCCTGATCTCCAGTGCCAAACCTCCCCATCTCAGAGACACGGAACTGGGCCTGCTTAGCAAAGTTATGTTGATATGATGCTGCACTTGATATGATGCTGACTTGTCAAGACAATGCTGGAGCTTGCTCCTTCTCCATGTAGCTACAAGGCCCACTGACATGTTAAGGACATGCTCTACCTTCATTATTCAGGAACGCAGAGCAGTGCAGACAGAAGATGGGACTGAAAGGAAGAACTGGGAGCAGGACAAAACAGCTACTCCTAGCCGTGCATCTTCCCAGAGACCTTTCCTTCTGCCCACTGCAGAATCAGGAGCGTGGGGCCAGGGGAAACATCCCAGCAGCAGGAGCGTGGCTGCCCGCGAAATCACTCTTCCTCTGGCCGATTACCCCACCACTTCAGCAAGAAGCAGTGAAAGTGAAGTCTCCATCCAGCTGCGTCTAATCCAATTGCTCAAGCACACAATCACATCACTGGGCTGCGGTAATTAATCACTGCCAGCATATTAATGCCTCTGAGCCTAGCATGAAGAAAGCTCAGGTAACTGCCATGCAATTCTCTACTCCAGATAAGAAGGTATTTAGGAGGGTTAGGAGGAATCCCACTTACCTGATTGCTTATTTAACAATAGCCTCATTAAAGGAAGCATTAAACGAGTGGCCTTTCTCTAAGAAAGCAAACTCAGCCTCTGTTAAAAAGGGACAGTGCAACTTTCCAGAACAGAGC